GGCAGTGGGATGCTGCCTGGAGCCTGTGACAATCCTAAGAGGAAAAAAAAAATCACAATTCTTAGGATTTATGGATTAAAATCCTCTGCAAGGAAAAAAAAAAGAAAAAAAAAAAAAAAGCCTGTGGACTCCTTACAAAGTAGCTATTATTTTGAAGAATACTCTTGCTTCATTTTCTTAGTTGATGCTAATCTATGTGCACATTCAAACTGAGCTAGACATCATGAATTGTCTATTATCTAGAAACTCCACACAGTGAAGTCAGATGCACACAGCAGCCCATCTTTATCAAAAGGAAGAGGTGTATATGAGACTGGGTCCAGGCAGTTCCTAAAGCATAAGAAAGTTACATGAGCAGATGGCTCACACACACAGCATGTCTTCTCTTGGCACACGATCTCCCCTCTATCAACCCACACTTTTGATCTCATGGAGAGTCCCTTCTGACTAGAGTAACTATAATTTATCATAGACAGGGACATTTTTGAGCTAAAAAGTAGGCCAGGAAAACAGGCCTAAATTAGGACTGTCCTAGCCAAATCATTAGGCATTGTCACCCTACCTATAACTCAGTACTTTGCAACTAGGAGTGATTCTTACCCATCCATAAAACATTTGACAGTATCTGGAGACATTTTTTGGTTGTAACAAATTGGGAGAGGGGATGCTATGAGCATCTAGTGGGTAAAGGTCTGAGATGCTACCAAACATTCTATAATGTACATAAACAGCTCCCCCAAAACAAAGAATTCTTAAACTTAAAATATCAACAGTGCTGAGACTGAGAAATCTTTTTATAACTACTTGGTTTAAAAGAGAAAAAAATCAGTTTATAAAAAATTCTGCATGATAGGCTAACACCAGGTAAAAGTGTACAGCTGGACCATTGCAACCACACTCAGAGATGGATTGGATGTGAAAGAGTTTAGAATAGGGAGGTATCCCTGGTGTAGGTATAAGTTTAAGTGTTACAACTCATTTCCTACTTAGATTGCAAAACAAGATATGCTGAAAGTAATGATCCACGTACACATGATTACACGGTCATGTTCTTGGAAGGAGCAAGTTTGGAAGACTGCTGACAAGGAGATTTGGCGAAAATATATGTGAATGTACCACTTTAAATGGACCTCAGGATCCCATTGCAGAAGAGGCTGTTAAATAACAAGATGGTCTTCTCTGAGTCTGTCAACTGTCCTCCTCTCCCCAGACCCCCCGTGAGATTCTTAAAATGTGGCCATAGTAACTGAGATGGTGCTTGTAAACAGGCTTTTTAAAAAGGTTGTTCTTTAGTTCCACTATACTGCCTGAAGAAAAAAAAAAAGTTGGTTTCATTTTTGCTTTTGTTTTGCTAGTTCTCATCTGAATCCTACCCTTGCTTAGTGGTAACTCACTAAGGGTAGTGACCTCCCAGGAGCCCCGAATGTGGTAACAGATTCTAAAAACCATCAGTTCATCTCCTGGTGGCAAAGTGATTACACTGGATCCTTTCAATCATGGAAGAGCCAGTAATTTATCCTCATTCTAAATGACACTTGTATTGGACTCAAATCCTCTTTACTTGCTAAATATATTTCTGTTAATGTCATTCAAATCCTTATAACATTAATATGGTAGCATGCACAATGATGCTTTCTATCAAAAAACTTATAATAAAATAGATATTTTAAAAACTAATGCCAATGGGGTTGTTTTTTTTTTTTTTTTTCATGTACGTCATCTTATAGAAGTAGCTTGCCTCATAGAATGGTAAAGTGGCCTATTGAAAAGTCACTTGTAACACCAGCTGGGAAAAAACACCGTGTAAATTCAGGGTACTGCTACAGAGGAAATGATATTTGGAACTAAAGATAAACATATGGTGATTTTTTTATAATGCCAGAATAAATAAGTCTGAGTCAGGAAGTTCAAGAAGAAATGGAAATTTAAAATATTACATCTAATATATTATTTTTGCAGATCTGTTTTGCACAAACCAATCTCTTGCTCACATAATATTATAATTCGTTCCTTCTTATTTTATGTACCATATATGATATATCTTATACCATTCTATAAATGACTTGATATTAGGCAGTATATTTTATTTCTCTTTGATTTCCCAGCGTTTAGTAGAATATGAGAGATACTCTGTAAATATGTATTTAATAAAGGCATGAATAAGGGAACAACTAAGTCAATAAATAATAAATGAAGCCAAGTCAGATAGCCCTATTTTTTCAAGTGACCTCATAGGAAATTTGCCTTCATTAGCAAATGTTCTTTACAAAGCCAGGCATGACTTAATGCTAGAAGCATTATTAAGTAAAGGATATAGTCACTTGCTTTCATTGATTTTACTACCCACTTCTAGAGAATAAAATAAAAAATAGAAATGCACTGCTGGCCGGGAGCAGTGGCTCACGCCTGTAATCCCAGCACTTTGGGAGGCCCAGGCACGCGGACCACAAGGTCAAGAGATCAAGACCATCCTGGCTAACACAGTGAAAGCCTGTCTCTACTAAAAATACAAAAAATTAACTGGGCGTGGTGGTTGGTGCCTGTAGTACCAGCTACTCGGGAGGCTGAGGCAGGAGAATGGCGTGAACCCGGGAGGCAGAGTTGGCAGTGAGACGAGATCGCGCCATTGCACTACAGCCTGGGTGACAGGGCGAGACTGGGTCTCAAAAAAAAAAAAAGAAAAGAAAGAAAGAAATGCACTGCTAAGGCTTCTATCACATCACCTTCCACTGTAATTTGCTATTGGATAAAAATCTAAGTTATTTTGGTACACTCAGAATGCCAATAATTGTATAACTACATGATTCTAGCACAATTAAAATACACTGTTTCATCCATCTATCTGTCGTCTATCTATCTATCTATCTAATCTTTGGCAGCAACCAGCACAAACATACAGTGAGCACATGTCACTACCAAACACATTATTCTGTGACACTTAAGGCACTGTTTACTCCATGGCCTCTCTGCCATCAAGGAATCTTTTTGCCACTATAACTGGACTTTGCTGGCACATCAAAATAGGAGAAGTGACTCTATGTAGCCTTTAGCTTAGAAGAATTTTAAATTTCTTAAAAAGACAAAATTTGGACATTCCCCTGCTTCGAAATTGTTTTCAGTGAGATGCTTTCCACACACATTTGAAGTGGGATCAAATTTTAAAGGATCTCTCTGAAAGAATAGAAATCCTTCAGTGATCATAGTAAAAGATAGAAGAATCAGACATAGAGGTATCAAGAAAACCAAGGTGCATAATTAACCACCCCAAAACTTAGTGGCTTAAATATATAACCCTTTATTTTAGCTATTTCTGCAGGTCCTCAGTTTGGGCTCAGTTCATCTGCATGGTTCTTCTTGTCTTGACTGGATTCAGTCATGCATATGCAACCAGCTATATGGTTGGTTGACTAGTTAGTAGCTGCTCTAGGATGCCCTCAGCAGGATGTCTTGGAAAGTCCTGCAGCAGACTATCCCATACTCATTTACATGGCAACTGGGAAGAGCTCCAAAAAGAGGGATCTCAAGCATGCAAGGCCTCTTGAGGCCTGGGTTTGCAACTGTCACATCACTTTGCCGTGTTGTATCTATCAAAGCAAGTCTTATGTTCAGTCAAGATTCAAGAGGTGGAGAAACAGATTTCATCTCTTGATGGGAGAAGCTGCAAAGTCATTAGCAAAGGACATGGCTGCAAGCAGGGGTAGAGGACTGTGGTCTTTTGCAACCTACTACCCTAGAGTTCAGAGAGAAATCTAATTTATACAACATAACTGTCAATAAATGACTAATAACATATAGAGTGTCTCATCTTAATGAATTAGTGGATAGAATCTGGAATTTAGAGGAAGAAGACTCACGTGTCACCACAAGTTTGACCTAAGACAAATTGCTTAATCTCCCAGAGCTTTCATGTCCTCATGAAATTTAAGTGAGGATAATATTTAGTTCGCATGATCACTATGAACATAAGTGAGTTATCTGTGAGTTAATTTATGAGACAGTATGTTAAATTCTGTAAAATATCAAGTAAAATATTAGCATAAGCAGTAAAGTGTAGGAGTTGAGAGCATTGGCCCTGGAGCCCGACTGTCTAGGTTAGAATGCAGTGCCTACCACTGATTAGTTTCTTAATCTTGGGTGAGTTCTTATACTTTCTATGACTTATTTTCACTTGCATAAATTATAAGCGTTATGATTTTTCTGGTTATAATCAGGGAGGCACTCTGCCAAAATTTGAGGACAAAAATTTCTAGAACCTGGTATAATACTGTACATTCAGGTGTATGTTTATTGTAAATACGGGGCATTATGTAGATTTAGGCAAGTCATTTAAACTTTCTCTTTCTCCATGTGTTAAATAAGAATGTTTCAACCTGGCTACTCATTGAAGCATAGCAAGAAGTAATTATCACATGATAGTTACAAATATTGAGTGCTGAGAACTTCCTCCTTTTGCTAAATGTAGGTCTAGAAAGACTATTCACAGGACCATAGGCTACTCTAGGACCACTCTTGGCCACCAAATTAAGAGGCTCAAGTCCTGAAAAGTTCTCATTTTAATGGTAAAACCTTAGTCTGAACAGATCCTCACCATTTTAATAAAGACAGTAAGCATCATAAAGACAGTAAGCACCATTAGACAGTATGGTCAAACTGAGGATCCCAGAATTAAAGTAAATTGCACAAGATCACATAACTAATTAATGACACTAGTGATTCCAGACATAACTACTCAGCTTCACGACCAAGGTTTCTGCAACTATAAAACATGTTGTGTTCATTTTAATATTTATTATTTGCTTTTTAAACCCTTCATTCACTAATTGTTGGAGAGTTGTATTAGCATGGGAAAAGTAGGTTCATGTTATACAGACTTGAATTTTACCTTTATTTCATTCATATATATGCCCATACGCATTCATGTAATCTTTCTTCGTTTATTTATTCAGGATATATGTATTGACCCCATATGATGGTCCCATGAAGAGGAATGAACTTACTGTTTAATGTCAGGTAAATTACTATCTCTGGCTTTGTAAAATGATAAGATAATCACTACTTGGATTAACAGAGCTAACAGATACCAACCATTTAGCATAGTTTACTATACACAGTAGAAACTTGACAAATTGTTTTATGGAAGATGTTAGAGTGGTCTTTATTTATTCCACAGACATATATGAGCAAGAAGCTGCCAACATGTTCCCTGCCAGCACATAGTCCTGATGCTGGTTTCATGGCAGAATGAAGTGAGTACAATTAGTCTCTCTTGTGGTCAAGCTAAAATCTGATTTGGAAGGATAGGGTGAATTAAAAATATATATATATATGGCCAGGGACTTCTGATCATACTGAGGCAGAGAGAAGCTCAAAAGTTGAAACAGAGCCAAGCTTATTGTTATACTGATAGTGTCAAATGTATTACTTCAGATGCAGTCTGAATCTCTATCTTTTAGTAACTCTTCTCTAACAGTTTTGATTATTAGAGTATTTTAGTATTCTACTTTCTTTTCTTTAACCTATTTCAATATAGATGACTCGATCTTCCAACCATAAAGGCTGTCTACAACTGAAACATTATCAGTGCCTGTATCTTACCAACTCTCATTCCCCAAATCCAACTGCACAGTCCAGCCCATGGATCCCACCTCTGCCTTGTCTCACACTGCCAGCTTCTCTTCTCCACCTTAATTGCAATAACCTAATCAAAACCCTCACTGCCTCTGCCTGGATTTGTGCAGTATAAACATATCATCCTTCTGTCTCCAGCAACTCCCCTACACCTCCACACCATCCTTTATGTTAGCCCTCATTTTTCTTCAAACCCAGGTTATAAATTCATCATTATCATTTGTTTTCCTGGCAGGCTTCCTATAATTTTAATCAAAAATATCCCCAGTGGTAGGAAAGGAATTATGGTTAGCATTTCTCAGGCTAAAGCTTGAATTAGCTTACAACAGTTGCAACAGTACTTTGACATTTCACACATACTGTCATAAAACATTTTTAAATTATATTTTTCTACAAAATATTTTTCATTTGAAACTAATATTTTAAATTACTTATCATGACATAAAATTGCTTCTTCAAGAGAATGTGCCAGGTACGTACCATGGTTTTGCAAATTATCTGGCGTATTGCTGGTGGTCCAGATTGAGAGGCACAGATCCACAGCTCTCTTTATTATAAGACTCTCCATGAAGCAGACCCAGCTTCCATATCACTATGAAACCACCTCAAATCATCCACCTGTCCATCTTCTTTCATCTATGGGCCCTGAGCATATTAGAAACTTTCTTAGCCAATGTCTCTGTTCAAACTGAATCCCTAATCAGAAAAACCTACATCTCTAGCAATGAGTTCTATTTCTTCTTCAAAGAATTGTAATGCCAGCTACTCTGTTAGAGTAATTGCATTTTCCTAATTTAGAGAGACACTAGAGTTTACTGACTCTTGTCTCCCTCCCAGTTTTCTGCATGGAGTAGATACTCATTGAATTTTTATTGATATAGATGACTATTACCACAAATATTGGCATTGATGGCAGTCATTAATGTTATTAATGATGTAATCAGTACCATATTTACCACACTTTTCCTTTCCCAAGTCACTTTTCAGGATCATAGAAAATCAGGCACCAGAAATAACATTTTGAATGTATTAAATTTGCAGATAAAGAAGTTAAGTCTAAGAGCAGTCAAATATCTTAACCAAGATTACACACCTATAATGATACCTGGAGTTGTTTTCCCTGTCCTAGTGAGGAAGAAACCAGGTCCAGGTCATGACACTGGAAATATAAGCAGCCTTGAAGAGGGAATGACTAACAGGATCATAAACATGACTATGGTCAAGGACTTTGGGAGAGAAACATACAGTGGTAAAATCTGTATCATGCTTCAAAGAGGATGTCAATTATCCTCCCAACATAGTCTCTGATGTAAAGTAAAGCTCAGATAAGTTATACCTTTTTCTAGATATCCATTTCTTCCACTATAAAATGGGAAGAGTGATGTCCATATTCTATGCTATGCACATAAGTTATAAAGATGAATAATAGAATTAAAGTTGAAGAGAAGACATTGAGAAATCACAATGAATAATTTCTCTAAAAGAAATAATGTTTCACAAAAGGCACTACCCTGGTTTTAGTGGCTTCTCAATCCAACTGCACTGAGTCTGAAAGTAATATTAGACACTTGTCTCTTTTTTCAAAATTTTTCCAACTTTCTCCAACTCTACTTCTAATAAGAAATATTCCTTAACTTAATGAAGAGGCTGGAATCTAATTTCCAACTAACAGTCCTGTTCTTGGGTTATTTAATACTGTACTTGTGTCTGAGCTATTCAACTGTTACGGACTGAAAGTTTTTGCCCCCATTCCCCAAATTTATATGTTGAAGCCCTAACCCCTAATGTTATGTTATTTGGATGTGGGGTCATTGGGAGGTAATTAAGTTTAAATGAGGTCATAACAGTGGGGTCGTCACCTGAAATTTGGATTTGTTAAGTTTGAAATATCTGTAAGCTATTCAAATGTGAATAAAATTAAAAACTGACTATGAGTCTGAAACTGAGACAAACAGCTCTACCTTGAGATATATATTTGGGAATTCATAACAATCAGATGGTTTTCACATCTAGTGAATGAATAAATCATCTGAAGAGAGATTGCTCAGAGAGCCCTGAAACTGGGAGATTGGTGAAGGAGTAATGGAGCTCACATGAGAGAAAGTATGATGTGTAGCCCAAGAAAGGAAAGTGTTTCAACAAAGTTGTGGTAATTACATTAACTACAACCTAAATGTCAAATAGGATATGGATCAAGAAGTGTGCTTTGGGTTTGAAAACAACTCAAAACCAGTTTCAGGTGAGTGGTGACAAGACATCAAATTGGAAGGAGCTGGTAACTGAAAGGGGTAGGCTTATGAGCATATTGAGTAATCAGAGAATTGGAGGCAGAAACTCCTTATTTCTAGACATTTGTCTATGAAGGAAAGCAGAGAAAATAATGGAAATAGCTTAGAAAGTGAGATAGGGTCAAAGGTTTTTAGGAACACCTTACTTGTGTCATCCTCCTCATCTGATCTTAACATTAAGCTTGTCAAGAACTGAGAAGGACAAACAAGAGAGCACCTTATTTGAGCCTGATTTTAGGAACTTTGTCAGAAGTGCATCTGTTTAATGTTTCTAGCTGTGTGGTAGTCAAAAAATCTGGACTGAATATCTCAGTTTCCCTCAAAGATAATTTGTCTGCACTTCAGCCTTCTTCCTACTCCCCAGATTTCACTCTTCTAATTTGACTTCTGGGACTCTGCATGTTTACTGAGGCTCCCTGCCCATTCCCACCTTTTCTAATACTCCTAGCTTCTTCAGTAGGTCCTATGCCTGACAACATGATCAGTTTTCAACTTGTAGTTTGAACTTCTTAAAAAAGAATATGCCACAAAGACCTACTACATGTCAGTCTCTCAAACAGATGATATAGCTCTCTTGGTAAGGGCCCTCCTAATAAATGGTTTCTGTGGTTCACAAGAAAGAAGGTTGATGTGAGTGCTGATGTGACTAAAGCTCAATTGAAATATTAATGACTAAACTCCATTAGCTCTCCACCCAACCTGAGCTACTTCCCAATGAGTTAGTCTCAAGAGCCTGTTAGCTTATGACTTAATCAAATGTTACATCTCTTTCAAATTTTACCATCTCCAATCCCATTCAAAATCTATTCTTCATGCCTCCTACAACACAGAGGCCTATGAGTCAACTTCCCTAACAAGTCTGAAAGTCATCAGAGGCACTGAGTGAACCTAAATGTCCTACGGCAGCCCATAATAAACCATATTGTGTTTTCTTACATTGCTGCTTGAGTCAACTGAACCACACTTGAGGGAGCACTAGGCTGGTTAGAAATAGCCTTCTAAAGTTTTTGTTCCCTTCATGTTCTCTAAAGCATAAATCTTCTTGTTTTAGAGTCCTGGTTTTGTTATCTTCTGCCTATAGCCAGAGAGTTTAAAGAAATAGATTCAGAATCAAATTTTTTCATATGTGGAAATGCTATAGAAGTATGATCATATCACATGATTATTTACCTTCATTCACAGGACCTTGATCCTGATAAAGATGAAGTTTATGAATAATAAAGATACAGTTGAGGACACAGTGGGGTGGATATAGAACAAACTTTACATATGCTATGTTAAAAGGCAGCAATAAATCCAGCCAAACGTAATTGTCATTATTGCTTTAGTAGAACTGTCATATCCAATCTCCTTTGCACAAGCTCTTGATTCCTTGTTCCTAACTGTCCACAGTTTGCTTTTCTCAATAATTATATAAATTAGATAAATTAAAGTCTAACCAAAATGAATTTTGCATAATATGCCAGTCCATTTGTGCAGAGTTTCTAAAAACCTCTAAACTATTTCTCTAGGCAGTAGGTTAGCTAATTATTTACCCTCCCAGCTGCCTCCAAGGCACTTCTGATCCTATGTTTAGAACAGAGAATGATTCCATTTGATTAGGAGAAAAAAATGCCCACAACTTTCCTAAAACAACATGAAAATTCCATCTATCCAAGGGGACTAAGTAATTTACTCTCTGCAGATTCCTATGGATCCTGAAATAATGTGCAGTGATGCATAGGCACATGGTCATTATGCCCCAGATTTCCTCATTTAGGAAATCAATTCTTAAACATTGGGGATATGCAAATTCAATTATTCCTGAACTGCAGAATAATCATGCACTGAAATATGTATTAGCATATTCACGCAGAGCAGGTTTCTCCTCCCCCAGGGTTCTCCACCACCTGTTGAATTAATTTGGTCTCATCCCTTGACATCCATCAGGTTCCACATATGACAGGGGCAGACTAACTTAACCTGTTGTCAGAGGAAACTGCAAAGTAACAAGAGAGTGTCACATCTCAGCAGAATACTACAGAAAAGAGGCAAAAACTAGAACAAATGCTTAGCCAGCCAGTCACCAGATATCCCTGAACAGTGCACCTTGGCAAACAAGGACCATTTAAATCTAATTAAGAAGTTTCTTCTGGTCCACTGGGAATCTGCACAATGACGCAAGAACAGTGCTTAACTGGCATCATGCTTGCTAAGCAAGCACTTGGGAATTAAATTCTTTCTCATTGTTCTTTTCAAATATTTCTGAACCACAGAGAAACTCTGCTGTCATGATTCCAGAGAAGCAGAACTAAATTTCATTTTCAAACTGATTTTAATCTATACACAGAGAAAAACATCTTTTATTGTTTTAGGACTCCCTTGCTGACTCAAATCTTCCAAAGGCTTCGGACACTTGTTATATATTGACTATATTTAAAACATTTACATAAATACTATATATACACATAATATTTTATGTGTATCACATAACATTTTCTGCCCCAAAGAGTTATCACATGCTTCTAGCTTCTATCTTTACTCATTTTGGTGAGAAAATTTAGTTATTCAATATTCATTTCCAAATGAAGTATCTTGTTTCCCCAACAAAACAAGTTTTTCTCTCATTATCTTCTTCCCCAGCTCCTCTACTGCAGAGCATCTCCCTTTGACCAGTGATGAAACCCACCCAAATAGCTACCTCTGGATTCAAATTATTGAGTGATTATAGGAACAGGAGAGCTGTGCATCCCGAATGCACTTGGGGAGAAACTTGACAAATACACATGTATTAGTTACTACTCCATTTAATCACACCGTACTCCAGAAATCTGCTTGAATGACCTATAAATGTGTTTATCACACCTCTTAGTACAGTCATTGGCTTTTGCCCAGTTGTGTTGCAGGGTTCCTCGATTTTTCTTCAGTTAAGAAACGATGTTTTAAAATCATCTTTGTATTTCACGGGTCTAGCACTTATCAGATGAGAAATAAATGCACAAGTATTTCTAGAATGAATGAAGCTGAATTTTTTTTAAAGAAGCTGAATTTTTTTAATGAAAATAATAAAATATATTATCCATGACCATCATTTTAGCTTCTTACTATATAAATAGCATTATATCATGTTATAGCACTACAATGCTTTCTGGAGGTAAAATCAAAATATAATATCTATTTTTATGTATCAGAAAAGTGATATATAGAAATATATATAAAGAAATATATAGAAATATATATATATATAAATATACAGAAAAATGTGAAAACTTCAGTTAGATTGGTTTTAGAGAAGAAGTAAGGTTCCTGGCTTCTTCTACCTTGTTCCAATTTTTTTTTTCTATCTCACAATCACACTACCCTCCCCATTCTAGTCTTAAATTATTTTTCTATTACTATCCATCAGTGCTGATTTTCTGTTCTCCTTCTTTCCAATCCAGCTGTAATTCTTCCAGCTGTAGCTCTACTTCCACCACGGAGTTTCTATTCGTCATGCTATTTTTATATTCTACTGTCCTTTAGCATGTGCAGCCAGATTCTCATACACTCCTTCGGATATCTTCATTTATGAAGAATTATTTCATTATACAAATGCTGGGGAACTTCTGTGTAATAGGGGTCGTATTGTATAAATATATAAATAAAATTAGGAGAAAAAAATGCCCACGACTTTTAAATTGTGTCTACATTGCCTTCTCCCTGAGCAAGGGACAGCCTGAACAAGTGGCATATCTAAAAAGATAGTTTTAAAATAGCTTTTGTTATCTAAAACAAGCAAAAAAATGTATAGGAAGATAATAGATGTAACAGCCAGGTTTTATGACAAAGGAGAAGGAATTTTTCTAAGTTCCTTTATCTCTCTTGTAAACATATGCAGAGAGCATCTTGGTGGATAAAATCATAAAGAATTTAAGCAGTGCCTGAAGTAAAGACAAAGGATATCTTGAAGAAGAAGAAGTAGGAAGCCCTAACCCTGGCCTTCCTAGATTAAAGAATTATGGAAACACAGAGGAAGGGAATGGATCATGGACCCAGTATAAATGCTAAAACTATAAACTCCTACAATGAAACAAGAAAATATCTTCTCAACCCTTGGGTAAGAAAAGAGTTCTAAAATAGAATTCAAATAGTGTTCACCAGAAGATTAAAAACAAAAATAGACATTGATAACATAGTCACATAGAAAGAAGCCGTGTTAGGTCTTCAAGCCTCTCTTGGCTTTCATGTAGCTTGGATACCTAGAGAAGTTCCTGTGTGACCTTTGGTAAAGCAAACAGTAACATGGCTGAAAGTCAGTGGCTTTTTTTTTTTTTTTTTTTTTTGTAAAATAACCTGACATTAGAGATGAGCCCAGAGCAAGCTGTCAGACACAGCCAAGATCAGAGACCTTTGCAACATCCAAGAGTGCTGTGGGGATTAGTTTATAAGAGAAAATTGCTGATCCCTGATTGAGCTAAGAAGGGAAACCTCCAGTTCCAGCAAAGACGTTCGCAGCAAACACCAGTAGGATACCCAGGAATGGGACCAACCATACTTTAAAAGCCACAAGTCCAATGAGTAACATAATCTCTCTTCAGATAATACTATGCAGATCCCTCAGGCTATGCATCTCACATATATGCAAACAACATACTAGAGAAGTATAGAGAGAAACCATGGAACTCAGAAAATACAAACAAACAAAATTCCTGACACATCTAATCAGAGGCTAAGAAACCTATGGAGAGAAATTTAAATTGTGGGCTTGGATTGATACTACCAGATAAGACACAATGTAGTTTTTACCCCTTTGCCTCCTCAAATACCTTGATGTTTAAAAGCAAGAGCTCTGAGATCAGAGTGTTTGGGCTCAAGCCACCAATCTTCAGTTCACCAGCAGCATTACTTGAGTCAATTGTATCACTTTTCTAAGCCTTAGTTCCCTCATCAAATCAACAGGGATTATATCAGTATCTATACCAAAGCAATACACAATAAACAGCCTCTGATATAAACTATGTGCTTAATGCATAAATGTTATGCATTAAAATTAAATGTTCCACTATAGTATGGTAAGTTTACAAGGAGGAAAATTAAAATCAGATTGGATAGTATGGGAGGTTTCCCAAAGAAGGTGGCATAACTCAAATACTGAAAGGCATATTGAGATTGATGAGAGAAGGGGCTTTGTAGAAAACTATATCAAACAGACCAGGCAGGCTGGAAGAAATGGTACACTGAAGGACTGCAGGGGGGATTGAGCCATACCATAGAAAGCCTTGTATATAGAATGATTCTGACTGTATAATATGTGCAGTGATTGGGAAGAATGAGATTAAAAATGGAAGGTTTTAATTCAGAGCTGATATAATCAACCCTTTGACATTTGGAAAAGACAACTGGCTAGTATATAGAGCAGTGTTTTCCAGACAGCAGGTCTGAACCTCCTTCAGATCAATGTAGTAAGTCTAGGCCAGCATAACTGTTAAATGAAATAGAATAAATAAAATAGATCACCTATATCAATTAGATCATATATTGGAGGACTAAATATCACTTTGTGAAATTTTGATTCTATATATATTACAAGTGTATGTGTGTGTGCCTGCATGTTAATGACTCCGATGCAAACTTTATGAATGTAAACCATAGTAACTGGAAAAAAGAATGAATTGGAGAGACAAGTGTGGTGATAGGAAGACTAGGAACAAAGTGCTTACCATATTGGAATCTGAAAAAGTAGTTTTATCTTAGTTTGTTTCTAATTAAACTAGAGGAATCATTTTACTTTGAGTTTTTGATGTGTGTGTGTGTGTGTGTGTGTGTGTGTGTGTTTTGTGTTTGTTTTTGCTTTTTGCAGCCTATCACCAGCTTTCAAGTGCACTATTGAATTTATATAATATATATAATATTGAATTTGCACTTCAATATTGGGAAATCAATCAATGTTTCCCATGACATGAAACTTCAGTCCACATATAAATGTGATTTTCCCTTTGATGTTTACACATTGTTACTACATACCTAAAATATTTTGAAAACACAGCATAAGAAGGCTAAGCCTCAGATTCTGGTTCCTGCTTCTATCCTACTGGCTATGTGACTTTAGCCTGTGTGAAACTTCAGTGAGAGAACCGAACAGTATAATCTGTTAAGTTTCTTACAACTCTTCATCGAATATAATTCTACTTGGCTGGCTTGTTCGTGAACACAGAATATTTTGTGAGATTTGGGATTCAAATTCAGGGTATTCGTGTTGCTAACCTATGACATCAATTGAGCTAGGCAACCATTGTTTTTCAGCATGCAAAGAAGTATAATTGTAAAATTCATGTGTCCTAACAAGTGTTCCAGGAGGGTGACTCAATCCTGTAATCTCTGATTGCAATGCTATTTTGTACATAATGCATTTTATTGTATTTCTTACACCCCTACTGCATAACAACTCTCTTGAGAAGGGGAAAATTCCTTAGTCTTTGAATAGTCACTGTATCTAACACAGTGGTGAAATTACAGTAGAAGCATACATAATTCTCAGTTAAATAAAATGGTGGAATTTGCTTCTAGCGCTAAACCTTCAGACTATTGAAAAGCTGAATTTTAAAAAGTCTACTAAAGGGATTGAAAAGTAACAAAGGCAGTTAAATATGGAGGAGTCAAGATCCCAGAGGTGGGAACTACATTGCTATGAACCTAAAATTCTTTTCCGTGTTTCCTCTAGAAATTCCCCTTTTGTGATTTCTACCTGGTAAGACAAGAATCTAAACAGCCCAGAAGAGAGTTGCAGCTAAGTGGCTAAGATACCATGTACAGCTTTCAATGGACTCAAAATATGAAGTAACATGAAAGAATTGAGTCAGAGCCTTTAATATATTATACCACAAAAGTAAAAGCAAACTGAGAAGAGACAAGCCCTTATCAAGGAAAAAAACAAAAAACAAAAAACAAAAAATGGATTTTCAAGTAGTCCTTATTAGAACATCTTAACAGATTAGCAATTCAAGAGAAGAAAATTCCTTAATATAACAAAGAATATATACAAAAACAAATAAATAAAATTTAAAAACTAAAACATGTTTAATGGTTAAATATTTAAAGATTCCTTCTGATCGAGAAGGAATGCTATTCGGTATTGTTCTAGAGGTTCAGGTCAATACTATAAAGCAAAAAGTATGTGTGTGTGCGAGAGAGAGAGATTGCAAAAGAAAGAAATGAAATCATTATTTTAATACAGCATGGTTATATAGAGAGGAAAATGTTTAAATAAATTTAAAAATACATACATGCATGTACACAGGTCAATGTTTGCAAAGTCAACATAGGTGTATATTTATATATACTAGCAACAGACAACTAGAAAATGAAAATTATAAAATACTATTTTCTATACTATCAAAAACACCAAATATCTAAGACTCAATCTGTAAAATGGCATGTAACATCTCTCTGTAGACAATTAAAAACTTTTATGACAAACTCAAAACCTTAAAAATAATGGGAAGTCATGCCATATTTATGAAATGGAAGGTGAAATATTAAAAATGTATCTCCCAAATTGACCTATAGATTCAATGTAATCGCAATTAAAACTTCAGCTAATGTGTGTTTGCATAAATTTACATGCTGATTCTAAAATTCACATGGAAATGCAAAAGACCAAGAACAGCCAAGACCATTTGAGGTGAAGGAACAAATTTAGAACAATTACACTAACAGATATCATATCTTATAAAGTTCCAATAATTAAGAATAGAATGGCTTTGGCATATGGCAAGAAAGCAAGCTATACAGAATAGAAGAGTTCAGAACCAGATCATGTATACATATGGTCACGATTTATGTAAAAATGTGACTTTGCAATTTAGTGAGGGAAATACTCATATCAAAAAAGGTTCAAATTCAGGTAGTCATAACACCCACAAATAATTTTTTTAAAATTAAAAATACAATAGAAAAGTGGGAAGAAGCCTTAAACAGGAACTTCACAAGTAAGAGTATCCAATTGTTCAGTAAGTAAGCATAAACACATTCAATCTCGAGTAATGTCAAATAAAAATTGAACCAAATGGAGTCACACAGGAAAGGAAGACTCTATTCAAGACTACTGCAATAGGGGAGAGAGATGGAATTCAACTCCTCTGAAACTAAAGGCTGCACACTTTTCAAGCACTGAGGTGAGCTAAGGGAAAAGTGCTCAAAGACATTAGTGGGGAGAGTGGTTCATGTAATTAGGTCATCTGTGTTTGCTAATTAGCACTTAGTTAAGCTTCTACCTTCCCACAGAGATTGGGAGATAGAGGCCTCATCGTTCTTAATGATTACATTTTAAAGAGATGGCTCCCAGGTCCTTGAGAAAGACATTTCTGGGTTTCAAAACTGGTAAGAGACAGGAAGAAGATGTACATCCTAAAGAGGGAGAAAAATGTTCCAAGAAAAAGTAGTTCTGGCGCCTAAAACCAGGAAGAAATCTGTCAAAAGTTTAATTCAGCTCAGGAGAGTGAAAAAGCCATCTTGGTCAGTCATTAAGGAAATGAAAAATTAAAACTACAGTGATATTTTATTACTACTTCATTAGAAATATTAAAATTTATTTTAATAAAGGGCTGGAAACATCAAGTGTCAGAGAGAATATGAAGCAACTGGAAGGCTTCAAAACTGTTGACCAAAGTATGAAACAACAGAAGTATTTTGGGAAAGTTTTGGCAGTATCTACTAAAACTGAACATCCCTATATACTATGACTCAGCTATGTATTTTAAAATATATTTTAAGTATATACTAAATAAATGCACATATATGCCAGAGGCTTTTGAACAAAAGCAATTCCATCTTGAGTAGGGGCTGGGTAAAATAAGGCTGAGACCTACTTGCCTGCATTCCCAGGAGGGTAAATGTTCTTAGTCACGGGATTAG